TCATCAATCACGTGCCCTACCGGCGTTTTTATGCCTCAACAAGGGGCTTGAAAAAAATTAATCCACTAATTACACGAGCATAATCATCATTATCATTATCATCAGAATTAACAACAATGAGGCTGAAACAGAGGTATTTCACGTGTCGTATAACTGTTTGGCAGGGGCCTCAGGCTAAATTCCCTGCAACGGTCATTTGTGTAGATATTAGGCCGATTGTCGTGCCTGATTCGCTACGGTGCCTGAAATAAGGCGCCCGTGGCTGGTAACACCAGAGAGCCCACCCTCAGACATCTCCAGGACTCCTTGTGCCTCATTCCCTCTCTCCCTCATCCCACATCGTAATAATTCCACTTCCATTTATTTTTCTCCTTCACTTCCTCTTTTTTACTCTTCATTTTTATTATCCACTCCAGCTATTTATTAAGGGATCAAATCACCGATCAATTAATTCTATTGAAATTCCGTTGTAATTCAAATAATTGATGAAATCAATTTTATTTTTTTTTTTCACTTTCAGGTAATATTTTAATTAATATCTCTGCTGATAAAAAATTGAAAAATCGCAATAAATCGTCAAATTTTGGGAAAAAAAAATTAGCAAAAAAATTTGTAATAGCTAGTGGATAAAATTGGGTGATATGGAAAGTGTAGCTCCTCGTGTTCGGGTGGTGGCGCGGTACCAGGGGCATAATAACAGGAGAATGAGGTGGAAGTGGTGGGTCCGGGGCACTAGCTGATGACTTCATTGAACCCGTGGCGGCCGTTTGGTCGGTCCCAGTCGGACCTCCCTGAAATCGCCTCAAATTATAACGCCGACGTGAAGAAGAGAAGATAGTTCACCCGGAGGATACTCTTTTGATGGGCTTGAGACACGTTTTAAAGGATGAAACACCGTAGAAACGCCCTGTGAAACATCTCTCTCGTGTGTATACCTTCCAGCTAATTCTCTTCCCCTCTCCAGTGCCTTCTCTGAATTTCTATTGGTGTCATGATCCAGATCAGCCCTATTTTTGATGACTTTATACGGACTCCATCCCCTATCATCGACACCGCAAATTTTCACCCTGAAATTCTAATAAAAAATCATCTCCCCCAAAAGATATATCCTAATTAAAATAATTTTACTCATTATCTGACGTAATATTTTTAATTGCGATTGATTTAAATGTCCGCGGGTAATGAATTTTTTCATTCAATTAATCGATTGATGAATGAATGACTCCCCTATAGGGAGTTGGTATATCACCGATAGACAGGTCTGTCAATCGATTTCGTCACGGCTGATCGATTCGGTGTACACGTTTCACAACTCAGAAATATATTATTCAATATAACCATGTAGCGATGAAATTTGAGTGGTAAAAACCATGACGACAGGCTGATTGATCTATTGGACTAGTCCATTGTCCCATATATTATTCAATGCATGTTTATTTATTGATGTTTAAAAAATCAACGAATCACTGGCACAACCGTTAGGTCGAGAGGAGTATCGTGATCGTTTTTCCATTGGGTTGAGAGTCGTGCAAGTCTCTTATTCTAATAAAATTCTGAGATACAAGTCAGTGTTCTTGTGTATTTATTTCACGTTGAACAATGAGAAAAAAAATGGGGAAAAATTCGCGGAATTCATTAGTTATCTGTTATAAAGTCATCCAATTCTCCGAATATTCACGCAAGTCTCCACCATTTCAAACGCTATTTATCTACTTTAAAATCCTTAATTAATTACGATAATTGGAGGCAGCAACGGTTCGCGCATTTCTCAGAAATGAAAATGTCACCTGGTGAATAAACCGTCGATCTACTTAGAACCGTTCAAATAACCAGAATATTCATTGAAATAAATTTTTTCATCGGAAAATCCACTGGCCATTGCTTTTGCAATCTAAATTATTCCCGTCGCGTTGTTTACCCAGGATTAATTGCATTCAATAGTCAACGAAAAAACTTGATTCCACAATTCCACAATTTATTCCACAAGTCCATCCCGTAATGACCGTGAAGCGTGCTGAAATACCCAGAATTAGATACAGATATGCCTGAAAAAAAAAATCAACGAAAAATTACCATGAAAATGGCGTTAAAATTGCGCGCGAAAATAGAGCGGAAAAATTGGGAAAATAAGAATTTCATCTTCAGTCGTTGTGCAATTTTTTTTTCCCTCCAGTTTTTTCTTGTGGCGATGAAATGTTCACCAATCATTTGTTCTTCTATACTTGAAAACCACCAACTTCCTTCATTTAATTTATCTCATTTCTCCTCTCCGTGTCCCTCTTTTTTCACTCAATTCTACTTTCGTCTTCTCCTGGCGATTCGCACGAAGCAGGTTCCCCGCCGGAATTTACAATTCACACCGTCGGACCCGTGTCCAAGTGAAACATATAAATGGCATTTGGAGAAGAGCCTGTTGAAAAAATGAGGGAATTAAATTAAAGGGTTGAGGAATAGGTTGGGGGTTGACATCACAGCGGAACAAGAATCAAAAAAATCTCAAATTTTATCCCAAAATTCGGCATAAAAAATTTTCCAATAAATAATATAAATCGCTGCAGTATTATCGATAACAGGAAGTGAAAACCAGAGGAAAATGCGAGGTAAAGGGTGAAATTAAATAGAGCTATAGGAAATGATTATTTTGATATCATGATCACAATATTCGTAGCGATATCACATCTAGCGATGCCGATTGATATCGAAAAATGGCACGTTGTATCCATTATATTATAACCAGTCTTATCTATATCAGTAGAGAGTGAGTATCTCGATAAGATGATTTTTCAAGATAATAATCGAAACGTTGACGGTTGGAGTATCAACCGACTGGATCAAACGTTATCAAGATTGTATGAGACATGGGATCGTTCAAGGTGGTGGAATCAAGTGGGTGGAGAGTGGGGGAGGTTTGCCAATGGGGGATAAAAGGGGGATAAAAGGGGGGTGAAAGGAGGCGAGGGTGGGACCGTTGGAGAACGACTGGAAACTGGATGTTACGTTGGACGTGTGCTTCGTCCAGAGTAGAATATACTCACGAGGGGAATAAAAAATAATAAAAAAATTTTAAAAAACAAGTTGGAGGAGGCTGCATTCCCCGATAATTAGTCTCACCCATAAATTACTATTCATTCTGTGTCTGTGTTGGTCCGCCTAACGCCCTTCAACATTTTTTTCGTTAATTTCTCGGGTTAGAACCGTCCTTTATGATCAATTTGTGCTCACTGTCGCTTTTTTTACATAAATTTTTTTTCTCCACCTCTTGTCATTTAGTTTTGCTACAATTAATTGCAATTATTGGGGGAAATGCGTTTGAATTTCACGGTTTTACACTGGATACTGAGGATTTATTCTTAACTTCACCTTTCAATAATTATCGTCTCAGTAAAATGCGAGAAGTGCAATTCATCATCGACGAAGGATATATTTTTTAAATCCCCACCAAGTATAATAAACTCATTTTTAACCCAGCAATTCGTCAAATTATTCAACTAGAACGTGACGAATGTACGAATAACCCATATGTTAATCACCCCTGAAGAAATTCCCACCTCCGAATGACAGCATTGTCCACTCGATTTAAAAAGAATAATTCCTCCAGAAAAATCGCCTCCAATTTGTCAACTCACCGGTCTCAATGACCCCTCGGAGATGCCCATAGCTCAATTCACCACACCAATAATCGATGGCTCGAACCAGTCAACAATAAAAAAAAGGGGAATAAAAAAAACGAAAATGATATTATAATACAGCGATGATTATGAGAACAGTCAGCAGGATATCCCCTGAAATTCACGTCGACATCTCTGGGTAGGTCCTGGGACCTGTTTTTCAGTTAGTGCCCCTGGGAAGAGAGGGCATCGAGAAAGGGCTATAGTCGCATGAGAGGAGCACAAGGTTCCTGCTGCTAAATGAGCTGTAATACGGACTCCCGCTGTTCCTTTTCCACTCACCTCAACTCTCTTCATCTTCATCATTTCCTATTCGTTTATCTCCCTCTCACTGTTATCGCGATCCTGGGGGTCATGGGTTCGGACTATTATAGCACTATGTACTTTTAATTTTTAATGAGATTTTCTCCTTTTAATCCAATAATCATCACCACTGAAAAATTATTTTTCCATTTTTTTTTTCAGGCATCATCTCTTTATCTCAGACATAATTACCCCGCTAATTACCATTTATTAATCTTTTCCTTCCAGTGTAACTTCTTTATTTGAAGATTATAATAATAATACAATTATTACAACAATTATATATTTTTTTTATTTGCAATAAAAATGTTTTTTTTTTTATATCGTGTATGGATTTTATTGCCCGGATGTTGAGAGCATTAATAGGTTAATTAGGATTGAAATGGTGGAATGACGAGTGGAATTGAATGAAAAATGGAAATTTAACGAAATTGTTGGTTAAATTTGGGTAAAAGTAGGTGGAGGTGACGTGAAAGTGGTGGTGGTAAGAGCCAAAGGACGAAGGAGGTGGCAACGGGTCTCTCCTCCGCGGTTCACCAGTATACCTGGTACAAAGATGGTGGGAGAAAGATGATTCCCTTTCTCTCAGTAACACTGTGGGGAATAGGATAGCCCGTGTGTTTCAAACCCACTCGGGCGCGTCTCAATGCCTCCATGTGGATAACAGTTGGCCCCCCTTTTTTTTTTTTCAACAAATAATCCACAACTCGCCCCTGTGACTATTCCACTGCGTTAACAATTTCTGGTGGGGGTAGAAGAAAAATCAAAGATCACAGTGACCAAGTGGCGGTAGGACCGCTGGTTTTTATCACCGACCGCCGGACTAAATCCCTCGATTGTTGAAAATAAAGAGTTGGGAAAAATCGCTAAGGAAAAATCAACGGGAGAACAAAAATCGAATTTTCCCCATCCATCACGACTGGAGGAAAAACACTGGCAGCATTGGGAAAATTTCACGCCTGTGGTGACGGGTGGGAGGTGGGAAAGTGGGGGGGGAGTGACTGGGGAGGGGCGGAAGGAACTGGGAAAACACCAACCGGAAGTGAGGCTGTCTGACGTTCACCGAAATTCTCTACTGGCGTGGGGAATTGGCGGTTTATTTTTCCCCAGTGATAAGTCCCGGTGAAAAATGACAGTTTGGCTTTTTGATTTTTTAACAATTATCGGTAATCCCTCATCGTCATTTTTATTACCATTTATTGAGGAGTGATGAGGTAATTATGCCGGCACCGGGATCAGACCAACCAGTCTCTGTTACACCAGTAGACAACGTTGGAATACCCGTTCGTTCATGTGTATAAACTGTGGCTTCTCAGTGTTACTCGAAATCGCGTTCAGCAAGCTTGCCCTGATTTTCCGTTGAGCTTTTCCCACACCGGATTACGAATCACATCGGTGTTTACATCTGATAATTATTGGAAAAAGGAATTGTGGGAAAAACCAGTGTTTCGATATTTGGCAGTGGGTGGTGTGCATGGAGATGCGCCCCGTTCTGGTGGCTATTTGCCTCCTGCTTGTCACTCCCATCACTGGCTCATTCTGGTAAGTTACCCTCATTACCGTTAATTAACCATCAATTAAATCACGAATTACTCGATTCCATAATCTTTTTTTTTTCAACCCGCGGAATTTTCTATTTATCTCTCCTACATGACATTTCCGGTGAAAATGTTATTTAACTTTTTTATAGCTGACGAAATTCTCCATAAAAAATGTCCTACAGTATTTTTTGTTAGATGCTTCACTGAGGAGAAAATTCACGCCCAAGAATGCAAAAATCCAAAGTTGTAAAATCGCTTGAATAATTTGCTCTCAAAAAATTCCGGAGATAACCGAAAAATTATTTCGACTACTTCCGGAAGGATTAGGATTAAATGATTTTGTTGTCCCAGAGGAAGTCCTCAGGATGTTTGAAGTGGGAGATAATAATTCCGGGGGGTTAATGGATTTATTGGGGGTGGATTGTGCAGATCGATTAATCATGCGGTCAGTTAAGCGATTCTCGGTTGATTCTCGACCTCAGTTTATCCAGAAATTTCCCTCATACTTGAAGAGATACCCGGGTAACCTCTCGCACACGTGACAGCCATAAAACAGCGAGATTAAAACAAACAGAACGTCACATCTGTGCCTGGGTTGCACAGTACCACTCGGCATCGGAGTTTTACCTCTCAGAATGATCCATACGTGGCTTTAGGTGTTATTCACCGTCAGCTAGTTAAGGGCCAGTATAAACAATCCGAAGATTATGGCGAGAAGTGAAATGTATCACTCCTCCACTGACATGTGCTCTCTGAATTATCTCATACACCGTTTATTCCAAGAATCAAAAAACCATTTCAATATTAACTATTTTTTATTTTCATTCTCCATTCATTTCTCCAGAGAAACAATTTCTTTATTATTTTTATTTAATCATCGTATCAATTATGTTTTTTATATTTATTCACTCGTCTTCATGAAATATAATTTTAAATATAATTGTTGTAATATTTTTTTTTCTCTTTCTGTTGATGGAAGAAACACCAAAATTTATTGTTATTTTGGGAAAATTCTTGGGAAATGCCAACAAATGGTATTTGGTAATACGCATGAAGATGTTGGTGCAGTTGGAGATATTACTCTCCGCATTTTGCCAACAGCTAAGTGGGCAACGTATATCTCTATCTCTACATGGTTGCCTGTGTCGTAAATAATTTTCATGACCCAAGGTACTGCCGTTTGGTATGTAAATGTTTGTACGAAGATAGAAGAACGAAAATGTTGTACGTGTTATCGGTAACGTCACTGGTTGAAGTCCGACTAAATATTCTGTTCAAAACGTTATTTTACCGATTTACCGGTGAAACATGGACAGATAATTGCAATTGATCTCATTGGTTCGTTGGAAATTTATTCCATCGGTGATTCCATGCATTGGAGGAGAAGAATTAATTTTTTTTTTTATGAAATCGGTTGAAATTAGTGGGTATTCTGGTGATTATTGTTTTGGTCATTGAATTTAATTGCTAGAATGTCTGGATGGAGAAAATTTAGTTGGCTTCATACCTCAGGATTATTCCTCTGGTCTCTCATGGGAATGATTGCAGTTTGAGAGCTCGAACCGACTGAATTCTGGGATCGTCGGCGAAACCCATGCGCATTCTCGGGTTTTTTACCCCATTTGAGAGCCCGGGACAACACTCCTAACCGTCTGTCCAATTCTCTGTCCATAAAAGTGGACCAAAGAGAGACACCACTGGTCAAATCAATGGGTGCTCAACAGCGACAGAGATTGCTGCAAGAAGTTCGGGGTAAAGGAAAGAAAGAAGAAAATCGGTGACAGTGAGTGGGTATGTGAGGCCACTGGGGTGGGATCGAGGGATTCAACAAAAAAAAAAAAAAATATATCGGTTTTTGTTAAAAAAAATAAAGATGGGAAGCGAGACGACGCGAAGACGACGTGGTCCAGCATCTCGTGTCCCCAGGACCTACGGCTTGAAGGAGTTAAAGAAGTGACCGAGGACGGACAATGGTGCTCGCTCTGGCGTCACCGTAAATCTCGTTGAGCGCGTATAATTTGTAAGTCGACAGAGGCTCCCGCCTCCACCCCTAACCCCCCTTTATACATCCTTTATTTATTTATTTTTATCCACCCAGTCTGATAAATATTTTCCATTTTTTTACACACCTCTATCTCCATATTTCCCCAAACTATTTCACCCACTCCCCATTTCCTTAAAATTTCTACAATTTTTCTTTTAATCGATATAATAATTATACTGCATGCGTAAAAATATTAAATATTTATTAATTAAATGCCAATTGATTTTACGGTTAATTCTGCGGAGAAAGTACTGACGATAAATATATATCTCGTGATGATTTTTATTGGGTCAAAGCATACCGTCAAATTGTTGGCTCGTAATGGCAATGACACGGTAACTCAGTAACGGATGGGGCCGTAGGTCCCACGAGACTATTTAAAATCATAATTTTATTATTTAATATATTATTACTTAACTGCACTGTTAGCGTTTACCCGGGGCATTCGTTCGCATTACGCATTTCTCTTGATTTTTATTTCTCCCTTCGATTTACCCCTCGACTGTTATTGCACACGAGGTGTACTAATACGTATGGGGAGGAATTCGTCATGGACACGGTGTTGCCAATGGCCAGCGTGATAATTCAAATTTATGCTCGCTGGCGATACGAGATGGAGAACACCTGTGACCCCGCGATCCTGGCTCCCTCATTTCTTTCTTATTTCTTTTCCACCGATTTCCCCTCACCCCCGCCCACCACCCCCTCCTTTTTTTAACTTGTAAAAAATTGAGATTCTCCGTGAGTCATCGAGGCACTCTTGACTCGGCGAATTCCACAGGAATTCCGGTGGCCACAATCCACTTGACAATTCATCATTACAATTTTCTCTCAAATATCATTATTCAATAAAAATTTACATTTTGTCATTTAAAAAAATTAATTACATCAATTCCGATAATTGGACGATTTTCGACGGTTGGGAGAGGAATTAATGAAGCAATTGGTTGATTCCTGAGATTTATTTCCTGGAATCATCGATGAATTTTCATTAATTAGCACATAGAATTTTTTTGAACGCGTGAAAAGGAGAAATAAAATTGGGAAGGTGCTCTCGTCACTGTCTATCCAAGCAGACAGCGTGGAGCAGGACTTTTTGGAGCAAAGTGAAGTGCATCTAATGAGGCAATAAATAAGTCGACCGCCCTAACTGGCGAGCCATGGGGACGAGGGGTAAAACGGGAGGTGGAGTGGCAGTACAGTTTCTTTTTTTTTCGAATCTCCTCGCATACTCTCAAGATCGTGTATTTATCTTTCTCTGAGTCTTTCTCTGATACTTGAATCCTCGCTCTATATTCCCTTTCTTGTCCACTGATTTTTTCACCTTTTCTTCCCCCCATTTTCCCTCTTTACCCCCTTTTTCCCTCCCCTCAGGTCCGCTCAATCTCCAACTATCATAATTCCATACACATTTTTCTTCAGAATTCAATAGACTTTTTCTTGATTTACCCGTAATTTTTCAGTAAAAAAAATATTTTTTAACAGGAGGACATAAATAGCCCCCTGCGTTCCACCTGTCGCCCTCGAAAATGCGACACTGACATCCCACTAAACCATTCTGAAAACACCCAACACAAATGGAATTCACGGGAAACCATTTCCCCTCCAACTTTCCAGGAAACAATGACTCGGTATTATTTTGTTACCCACTCGGTAAACAGAAAATTTTCAAACTCACGTGTTAGCCCGAGGCCGTGTGTTTCCAAAATTTCCCTGAGTTTATTTCTCAACGGCTTGTCCGGGTCAGTTTTGAAATAGGCCTCTTCAAACGACCCAGCTCTCGCACCAGGTCATAAATTACGTACACGCGCTCTCTTTTAATTTATCATCGCAAATCTCGTTGGATTGTTTTTTTTTTCATGACTCTCGTTTCTCCACAGACTAAACAAATTATCCATCACAATTTCAACTCCATCCCCTCAATAAATCAATTAATTAAAACCCTCATTACTGAAAAATCATTACCTAAAATCCCAAAAACCCAATGATGAAAAAATTCTGTAAAAATATACAGCGCTAAAAATTCAAAATAAATTGTAAAAAAATTTCAATTGAAAATGCTCTCTGATTGTCCCTCTCTAATTCCCCTCCCCCATTTTTTTACTCGGTTTATACCACTGGCATTGCCATTAACGCGTTGCGCATTCCCATCAGGCCTCGCCACAAGTGCTTGTCTGTATGGGTTATATCCCACCTTAATTAACGTTTCGTAACGAAGGTCGTGGCCATACGATGGCCGGACAGTCTCCCCAGAGAAGTGGAAAGAGAGTGTCGTTTCCCTTTTTTTTTCTCTCAATATCCCCCCCCTTTTTTTTCCCCTCATTTTATTTAGCCTCTCAAGTTGAACTGCACGGTGCACTCTTTTCCATCATTCTGATCTTTCCACCTTCTTTCGTTTATTGGTGGAGAAGATGCTCGGGGACTCCCAGCCCGTCGTCGTCTCCTTCGTCTCCGTTATACCGGCTGGGAAGAGTACGTGCGTAATGGGCCCACGAGCTTTAATTATCGTAATGGCGATGGCGTGTTCTCGCTGATGTATCCTCTCCCCCTCCCCCTTTCACCCTCTCCCATCACCAAGCCTCCCCCAAGGGGGAGACGAGGGATTCATTCCTCTTCACTCAATGCAACGTCTCGTGCCTTTTCCCCACATTCCTCGATCCGTTGTCCATCTCGATGCCCTCCAACTGTACTCTTCCATTTATTTTCACTATTTTTTTTCAATTTTTTAATTATCTCATTTCAAACAATACGTGAGATTTTGGTATTCTCACTCATGGGAATTTTATCATCGATTATTCTCACTCATTGAGATGAAAAAAGAAAATAATTCGGCACTCATTTCAGTGGTAATTAGTATAATCTTCATCTCGTGTGAATCATCGCGGGAAAATTACTTCAGGATGTTGATGATTCAGGTGGTATTTTTGTTTCAATCTCAGGACTGTGGGAAGCCAGGTAGTCATGGATCCACTCCTGGTGTGCAAGAAAACGAGAAGATTGAGGGGAAAACTCGCGGATATCTGCAGGAAGGAGCCGTCATTACTCAAGGAGATCTCCAAGGGGGTCCAGGTCGGCACCAGAGAGTGTCAGCATCAGTTCAGAAATCGCAGGTGGAATTGCACCACCGTCAGAAGATCATTGCGAAAGGTTCTGCTGAGAGGTACTATTTTTTTTATTATTATTTCCTTCTCCATGTGTTTGAAAATCCCGCGCATTATTCCACCGCTAGCTTCACGCCCCCCCACCAACCAATTACTGCTGCTCATTTCGATACATTTCGATATATTTCGATATATTTCGATACATGTCGATACAATGAAGAGATGAATATCGAATTCGATCATGACGAAATATCGATGATCAACGGAGCAAGAATCCTCGAAGATTAATTCAAACCGCTTGTAAGAGACGTCCGTCCGTCTGTGGAGTATCGATTCCGGATGATCGAGCTCAACAACTAAATCAGGGGACAGGCAATTCCCCTCATCGATACAGCTCCCTCCTCCCTCTGGCCCCGGGGGCCTGATCGTTGGGCAAATAAAAAAGAGAAGCGAATGAGCTGTCGGGTCGAGGTGCCTCTATGGTAGCCCGAACAGATTCGTGGGCCCACTCTATATGTCATCCCGTTGGGTATATTAGTAGCAATATGTTCGCTTAATTAAAACCTTAACTCTGGCACATATATTTGGGTCCCAGGACGAAAGACGATATCCGAATATTGAGTGGGGCATTGATACGAGGGCTAAACCCCGGGGGGATCTTGACTCACTCTTTGTGACACATGGACTTCTACGGGGGTCAGATTCATTCGCGTTGTCGGGGCCCCATTTCGGTGGGAGGGGAAGGGGGCATTTGGGTCTATCTGTGGCCATCTATCGTGGCCCCTGGATGCTGAGCCGACGGGACAGGTGGAAGGAGGCCATGAAAAACTCATACGAGCGAGAGAAAATTTTAATATTACGGTCTGTTTCAGATTCACATTCGATTAATTTAATTAAATCGGCATTTATGATGGGATCGGTTTATTGGGGCAGATTAGTCGGGATATTCCCACGATTATTCATTAAAATGGGAAAACCACGGGAATTCAATAAATTTATTGCTAATTATTTAAGAAACTTTGTAGCATTAATGCTTTGGGTAAATTGAATGTTTATTTTCCAATGAGCAACCGCTGAGATTTCTAATTAAAACCGTCCAATGAATAAGACCTGGGAAAATTGAGGATATTTTATTACTGGCGATTTCATGACGATTTATGTAATCGCTAATTATTTTGTTGGGATAATAACGTAATCAGTGGTGGTTTGGATAAATTAGATATTAATTAGGTATTAAGTATAAATTGGTAATTAATAAATTGAAGATTCAATAAATTTAGTAAGAGAAGTTGAGAGTCCAATGGAATGAGGGGAATTAAAGGGAAAACGCGAGAGCATTGTAAATCATTTGGAGGTAGAGAAAAAAAAAATCGTGATGACAGGCAAACCAGTGTGACAACAGCTACATTTCGACAGAAAATCCGGAGAGAGACAGCAATTGGAGACCTCCCGGTGTTCAACCGAGAAATGCATCTCGATTCTTGGACGAGGTGGGAGTTCTGAAATTTTCACCGTGTCCTTTTACCTCGGAAAGCCGTAATTTCGCCTACTGTTCGGTAAGAAACTCCACCACCTGGCGTTTTTCAGCCTTGAGTGTTCCACTCTTTCGTCGTTACATCGAATTAAAAAAATTTTTTTCACCCCCCATTACATGGCCCCCGGGCTGTCCTTTTCGCTTTTTCTCTTTTTTTCTTTTTCTCTTTTTCTCTAGTCCAAATGGTACCACCATAAAGACGACAATGTGCGATTATGCTTCATTGGAGGCTCGTAAAATCGCCTCGATGAACAATTTTTATTTAACCACTTTATTTTTCTTTCCCCCTCTCTCTCTCTCTGTCTTTATTTCGATTTTTTATTGGCTAGCCAGCGTGAGGCACGGGCCATCGTAAATAATTCGCCTTCTCCTCGCACCAAAAATTATCTCTCTCTTTTTCCGAAAAAACAGCGTGTTGTCTGTTGCGTACGACGTGTGCCCGCTGGGTGTTTGGGGTCCACATGCCTTGTCGAGAATAAATAATATATTTTAATTAAAACCTTCCTTTAATTGTACAATGTACAATTTGTGAATTGAAAAATGTGAAGAATTCGATTTTTTTTGCACGAGTGGAAATAAAATAATCGTATTAATTGAAGGCATAAAGTCATTGAATTCATACCGAAGAATATACTTTATCTTTTTATTTAATTAATTCGTTAATAAATAGATAAAGTAATGACACTTTGATGAAAATTAAGGGAGGGAGGAAAACAGGGAGATTCAAAATTGGAATGATCAATTCATTGATTGGGGGAGGTAGATTCTATTTTATTGAAGGGAGTAAAATTTTTTGGTGTACGATGGCAATAAATAAATGGAAGATTGAGATATTCATCACGTCAAAGGTGATGATACTGATGATACACCCCCATGGGTTCCCGAGGACGCGGTTCACGGTTGGACGTCTTACCTTGAGAAGTATTTTTATTAGCCATTCCCATATGGCCCACCCATGTGTTGACCAAAAGCTGCGAAAAACATGCACGGTATATCTTATTTCCATTTTATTTGAATTTTTCATTTACCTCGGCCTGCGTCTCTCATTTGGTTTACGATACAAATTCTTTATAGACTAAGTAGTTCTCAATGGTGGGTCCCCCTGCGTGTGCTCTCTACCTCAGGTTGTCCTTTTATCTCACCCAAAATTCGATAAAAAAAAAAGAGAGAGAGAGAAAAGGAATAAGAAAATTCCATTCAAATTAAAACTCGTTTCTCGTTCTCATCGTACGGAGTCTCGCTCCCTCTTTATTTTCTTGGGGTTCATTTCAAAAAGTTGAACACACCCGAGCCACCCGAGGATAGTATATTTAAGCTACCGGTGACGACGCCTATCTTAATTCCCGATTGACGTTTATTTATCTGGCGACGTTTAATTTTTATGGTCGCGATCCGAACGATAGGGTCAGGTAGCTTCCAACTGTGTGGTCCCGGTTCAGGAAAAAACCATGAGTTTTTCGGAAATCATTGGCAGAGGGGGGGAGACTAAATATTTTTCAAATTGGGCTACGATTAACTTTTTAGAATTTTTTTTCGCATGCTGATGAAGCTATTAATCACCGAGATTTCGCAAAAATTTCAATTTATTCATCACCAAAAATTTCATTAATTAAATCGCTCCACCATTTTCATATTATTCCTAATTTATGACCAATCACCTGTGGAAAAACTATTTTCAATTAACACTATATCTATATAATAACGGAATTTTTCTACCCATACAAATTAATTACAATTAATTAATTCCCGGAGAATAAATATAATTATCGAAAATTCCTGTAGAATTTGCGTATTATTCGAAATTTATTCGCCATTAAAAAGTATTGAATAACAAAATGACATTTTTCCGGATAAATAACAGCCGGTGGCATTTAACCACTGGTCGGGGGCTACCGTCGACGAGAGGCCACTCATGGTTTGATGGCTCATTCTCACTGGGCTAAAGTGAGCCGTTACGTTTTGATCGGCTGGTGGCGCGTTTAGAGGCTAAAGAAGACTGCACGAGGGGCCCCTGGGCCCCTCAGCCTCCCCCCC